GACCCTGTATAGGGTTTCCGAGGAGCGGCTGGTGAGCTTGAACTGCTGACTTTGAGGTTCAAACTGACTTTGCAGCATATTAACTCATAGTGCCACACCAGGGCTCCAATGGAAGCAAATTATTGCATCGTTTTTTCTGTGAAGTGGCTGGTGCGTTCAAGCCTCCAACATTTCAGTTAACAATTGAGCGCTTAACCACTGTACTACCAGAGTTCCTTATATTCAATAGTACGGGCCTAAGCAGATGAGGCTTCCTGTTTGTGACACTCTCGAGTGGGTGATCTGGTCACGCTGTTTTACTGGAGCACATCTTGTGTTACCGTTTTTGGTCTTTTTCTACTACCTGGTCAGTTAGAAATATCAGAAATACTTTGAAAGATAATGAGAATTTTATTTTGTTATTTTATTATTCTCTCATTTTATAGATTAAAGAATGCTTCATCTGATGTGAAACAAATGATTAAAAGTGAAACAGACTTGGATGTTACTGCAGATCTCAGAAAGAAACTCCATCGGGCAAAGAAAGAAAAATTAGAAATAACAACTAAGCACAATGCAGAGGTAGAACTTTTTTTCTTTCAAAATTAATACCAGAGCTTGGTTATATATGATTAATTTCATATTACAAACGCCATGGTTAACTTTATCACCATACCTTTCTTGTGCTAAAAAAAGGAAACAGTAGTAAACATGATTTTCTTTATGCAATGGGATATGTGTAGGAGAGTAAAGGACAAAATGAAGACCTTGTTATGTTTATTTAGATGCTGGCTTAGATTTCTTATAATCATTGGCTAAATTTGGTCATAAATACTGATTGATATGAATATGTTTGGTGAATAAAAGACTGGAAACTATACATTCTTGCAATTATAACATATAGGTTCTTTTGGAGAATCTCAGTAATCATGAAGTGATCTTGTTTTTTAAAAAAATCTTTTATTGTGAATTCAGTGATAGCTAACAGGGCAGATCATCAGTTTTACACTCAACCAATCATATTTTGTTTCATTGCCATTATTACAATCCCCTCCATGCACCATTAGTTAACAGTATTTACCTCTATTCCCTCCCTTCTTTTCATTTGGTGTACACAAAATACACAGACAATATATATTAGTTTAAGTGACCAAAGGGCACAGTTTTCCAGTTAGCCTCCTACCCATAGGCACACAGCCTTTCTCTTTCCTTGGGTCTAGAGTCCTCAGCTGCTCTGTCTATGCCATTGCCTCTGCTTCCATCTCTGGTGCCTCTGCTTCTCTGGCTAGGGTTCCTCTTGATGATTCAAGGGTCCTTTGTTTCTGGAACGAAAGATTAACTACTCAGCCCTTTCTGTTTCTGATCTTCTACCTTTACAGTTGTGACAATAGCAATTAGTCATGATAACAGTTACTCACTATTGAATGAAAAGAATCCTATCCCCACCTTCCTTCATCCCTCTTTCACCAGACCTATCTGGACAAGAGGAAAGCTATCCATTGGGGATTCTACTGTAGCCCCCTCGTTCTGAAACTAAGCACACGCTTGAAAACTTGGAAGCCAGCCACTCTGTGTCTTTACAGCCCCTCAGTTTTGGTAGTCAGTGGAATGATCTCTTTTTAAATAAATAACTATAGAAATTTTAGACTCTTTCAATAATGAAAGTCGAGGCTTGAGTTTTTTCTTCAGTTCCCCCAGCTTGAGAAATGCTGACCGTGTTCTTCCCTTTTGGTTTTCTAGTTCCAAATGTTTGCATATTTTATTATAGTACCTGGTTTTGTCTTCTCCAGCTGATCTTTGGAATTTTCTGTTCAGCTCTTGGACCTCTTCAATTCTTCTATTTGC